TTAATTGATTACTATATATGTACATATAGATCATTATGCGTATTACATATATACTATGCGCATATGCATACTATATGCATAGTGCGCATAGTACGCATAGTGATGAACTATGCACGCATTTGTCCATCTCTATTCACGATGCTCCTAAGTTCTAAAGATCTACAAAAAGTGATGGATGCATCAACTTTGCAGCAAGGTCTTCAATCTTAAGGTATAATTTACATTATGGCACAAAAGAAATAAAAGCGAGATGTAGTTAGTAAGAGTAAAAATAATTTTATTTAGTTAATTTTCTTCAAACCACACATTGTCTATTTCCTGAAACTTCTAAAATGATACTTTTTAGTTATTTTATATCTAGTTAGATTACAGATCGTAATTTAATATAGAATTCGCGGGTTTAAGTACAAACTATGAATTTTTTTTACAAAAGGAGTATGTTTATACTTCAAGATAAAGGTATATAATAAAATTTAATGTAACAATAAAAATAAAATAAAGTAGAATTATTATATACGTACAATAAAAACTTTTGTATGAAATTTCTAATGATAATTAAAATCTTGGATCGCAAAGTAAAAATTTTTCAAGAAACTCTTATTTTTGGGGAAGGTAGTGTTAATGTTGATAATACAAGGAGGTTTGTAAGGAGGCATCAATGTTGATACTACGAGGTAAGAATTTTTGTAGGTGATTTTACTCAGGTGGTACAGGAAAATAATTACATGTTTTCGCGACATATTGTTAATTAAGGTTCAAGATTAAGTTTTTTCACATGATTCTAGAATTTTCGTATCCACAGGATTTCTTGTTGCGACGACAATACTTTATTGCTGTACTTTGACAAAAAATGTTTAAAAGCACAAAATTGTGGATCTGATAACAAATACTGTATTTTACGCCTAAGATTATACATGTAATATAAAGTAGCTTTTAATTTAACGTTTGCAATCTTGCTAAGTCTTTCTTGAACTTTAGCATTAACTTTTAATATCACGAAGAATGAATACATTGCATTAGACACTTTTTTTTGTTTTGCTACTTAATTTAAGCAGAATAAATACATACGAACAAATTAGCTTGACTTTCATTCAAAATTATACATTAAAAAAATGAAAGTTTATTAAATGAAGTTTTATTATTAGACAATACGATTTTATTACATACAGCATTTAAACAAAATTCCACTTGTTATAGTCTGTTATTTCATTGATAAATATATCCAAATAAAAGTTTAGCGAAAATTCAAAAGTCTTATGAAAAATTTCCCGTGCATAATTTTTGTGATGATATTTTATCAATCAAAATATTTGAATTTTTTTTATTACATATTTCGATATGTATTCTGTGGTCAAGGACATTTTAATAAATTTATATGGAAATGTTAAAGGGTAATATGATTTTATTTGACTCTGCATGTAAAAATAAATAATTTTAATAAATTTTTTAAGGAATCCGATTAATTTGACCGGTACATTACCTATTAATTACAAAGTTGAAATAAAAAAAATAGATAACATTCAAGGTCCCATTTTTTTGCACAATACGCACAAAAATATGGTGGACACGGCATAATACTCCGTAAGTTTTAAGTTTTTAAAAATTTAATTTCTTTATACGATATATAATTAACCATTTATTATTTTGAATAAGAAAAAAAAATGAAAGCATCACAGAAATTCAAAGTGAGCTCTTAAACTTACAGACGGATGCTACTTTTATTCCTTTTTCTACCTTAGATGATTCTCTTGTCATAATTTATACCACGAAATCATCAATGAAGTTGTCTTTATGAGACTTGATAACGCTATCGTTTACGCTTTACCAGAGATCAACAGATAATCTCGATCTTATATTTAAAATAATTTCATGTTATGCATATACTACAAACACAACAATTGGTTATTCTTGCAGATTGCGCATAAATTCCCAAAATTCAACAGATATCACTATTGAAATTTTTCAAATCACCTTTCTCTCAACTGGTGTAGTGATAAAAATAGGTAATTTAAAGTTCACGAACGAAAATCAAGAAATTATCAGCATTCAACCGCTTTTTTATGGAGGATTTCTAAGACATATTACTTAACAAAAAAATACGCAGACTCCTAATACATATAACAATATTTTGGATGAAGATGGAAATAAAACTGATATGTATATTACGATTGATCCAAAGATTTCCATTATTGGGTATAATATACAAACCAATAGAAATGGCGATATTCTTATAATAAGAATAATAATAATGTATTGATTTATTATACTGAATATCCTAAATTTAAAGAAGGTAAGTATAAGATTATTTTATCTTTATAATGTCATTGTTATAAAATTTCAATTAATAAATTAATTCAATATAAATAAATCAGTTGCGGGATATATGAATTTACAAATAAATTCTACTTTTCCAACTATTAACCAAACAATCCAGACAAATCAGAATAATCTTAATATCACATTTAATAGAACTGCTACTCAATCAACTGGAAATATCTCAATATATAAATATGATGGACAATTCAGGCAGAATATAACACAGTCATCTTGCAATTTGAAAGATAAGAATACAGCATTATCATGCGAGATTCTTTCAAGCACAATTAACAAATACGATAGCAAATATTATATTCAAGCTTCAAACAATTTTATAAAAGATAAAGTATATAATGAGCCATTCATTGCCCGGAATTTCAGAACAATTATGGAAATTTCAAGTTGGTAAATATTTGAACAAGGTATAAAAAACATATTTCGAATTTTAAAAGATATAATATCATTAAAATTTATATCTTTATATGGTGTTCTAATATTAACATTAGTAATAACAATAAATATTTGTTTTGCTTTTTATATTACCTCTTTAGAGCTTCGAAAGAAACAAGGTTTAAATTCTATGTATTCAGTATAAATATTATTGCTGTAACAAACTAATTTTAATTGTTCGTTCTTTGATAATATAAAGATTATGGTAGATGGAATAGCGAAAATGGCAAAGTGGCATCTATTTTCATTCTTTTGGTTGTTGCTGATATTGAAGCACTAGAAAATCTTTCTTCAAATTTTGCAGGCTTATCATTTTTAAATGTAAAATTTTCAGCAGAAGCTCAGCGGCCGATATCTTGGTGTAGTATAATTGGTGTGTTATTTGAAAATATTCCTCAACTGATTGTTCAGGTATATACATGTATTTACGAATCTGCTTTTGCTATAATAAATCTACTCATAATTGTTTCTTCTAATATGATTTATACAGTATAATTATACAGATAATATATCGTACAAAAAGTTATTACATGGAATCTCATACCATTTATAACACTTTTTTCATCAGCTATTATTTTAATTATAAAAATTATTCAAAAATCCCAGCTGGTAATCCAAAACATTCGAGAATGAGCAAATAAGAATTCAGCTCAGAACATACATGCAATAGGTTCAATAAAAATGAAAAAATGACTATATTAGTGATTCTTTATCTGACGCGATGATTCTGAAAATGAAGATTATAACGATATTCAAAAAAATTACATATTTTCTTCAAAATCCAATCATGTCAGGTCTTTATCAATTTAATATGAATTAAAAATTTTATAATCCTAACGTTAGTAGTATTTAAGTTATTATAAATCAGCTCCTTTACAATTTACAGTTAACAGGAATGTGATGGCGGTTATTTTTTAAATTTAGATACTATTTTTAAAGACAACTACAGCGTCTTTAAATAGGAAATCATACTCTAAAAATTCTTACTTTCATGTAGCTTTATATATTTAATCATAGGTTTAATATCAAAATGCGAATTGCATAAATGCCAAGCATTTAAATAAAAAACATTCTTTTAATGCAATTACAATAAAAGAATTTGTCCATAATGACTCATATAAAATTCATAATAAATGATATCAGCACAGGTATTAGATCCATAGCATCTAATAACACTTCCAACATTATTCATTACAGAAAACCTATAATATTATCAAATATTGATACAAATCAAAAAAAGTACAGAATGAAGTAACCAAATTTTTTAAATATTCCATAGTGGTTTATATTTATTTTACAATATCAAACAATTGGTTTCTTATTAAAAATGTGTCGAAAAATCAAAAGGATTTCATTTTTATTGAATCAAGCTGAAAAATGATTATTTTTTTAGTCACATGTAGTTCAATTTTCATTATAAAAAATCAATAAACAACGAGTGTGATATAGATATTGGAAAAGCGTCAATTTGTGCGTTAACAGAGAAAGCAAATGAAGATAAATCAATTTAATATATGACATTCTTTTTTATTTATATCATTAGTTCATTACAAATTTTTCAAACAAATTCAAATAAAAGTAAGCGAATCTATAAGTAAACATAAAGAAAAACTACAAATTCACGATTATAGTCAAATTATACCGAGAGTTTAATAAATGAGTGTATGAAAATCAGAAGGCATTTCCAATGGATTCCTTTTGAAGAATTCACTAATATCAAACATAACTAATACTTTTAGAAATGAATCATAGGAAAATAAATATAAACGATCTAATACGATAAACGCGAAGTTGTGTTGAAATTATACGATTCAAACCAAATTACAAAAAGGTAAAATCGAAAAATTTTAAAGACTTATTTCTAATACAATTAAAATTTAGCGATTTTAACTTCGGAATAAGTTTTATGGTAACAAAATCCCAGTTACGGATAAATACTCAATAATTTGTTACCAAAAAGTATAATGTACAATACATTAGTTCCAATTACAAAGAATTGACTTGGGAATAAAATTAAGAAGTATATTTATGCTCTGGATAGATAATATTTGCACAAAGGAACCCGTGTACAATGACTTGATATATTTTTTAGAAAGATTTCCTTATGCAATTATGTTCATGTAATATATTCAAAGTAGTTATTATTATTTGGATTCTAAATCCTTTATTTAAAAAGTAACGCATCAATTCAATAAATTTCAAGATCATATTTGATAGAAACAATACATAAAGAACTAAATTATGTTCATAAAATCAGCATCAGCTATAAATTTAGGCTCCAACATTTTCGCAATTTGCAATATTCCGTTTTTCGTTGATGCATCGTCGATTTTAAAATCGCCAACGATCGGGGCAACCAACTCGTATAAGCCAACATTAAAATATTCTTTCGCTTTCTCCTTCTGTCCCAATTTCCAATAACAAAAAGCCAACTCGAATGCAATTGTATTAGAGATATGAGAGACATTATTTACTTTTGTTAGCATATACAGTTCCTCTAAAATTTTGGTAGCTTCAGACGTTCTTTCAGCCAATTCGTAAAGTAAAAAAAGCGCAAATTTTGGTAGAATTAATGGGAAATCCAGATCCGGACTATTTGGCCGAAGTGAGCGTAAAGCTTCAATGATCTTTAGATCTTCGGTAATAACAGACTCGATTGAGAACTTCGTGTGATACTCTGAAAACTTTGAGGCGACTTTATGAATAAAATATACAAACAAATAGCTTCGCGTAGAATGTATTGACCAAGATTCAGATTGCTCAATGTTACAAAGTTGGCATTGACATTTTATCCCATATTTCTTAAGTTCAGATAAACGTCTCTCGTAACTCAACATAGGACCCACATAAGGTATTGTCAACATTTCGCCTCTTAAAATCAAGCGTTGGGCGCGAATGAACATCAAATCTCCTATATATCTTGCTTTTGTATTTGCATTAACACACGAGTGATTATAATATGAAGGAAGTCTCCAGAGACCGGAGCCGATGCGTCGATTATTTTCATAATATCTTCTAACAAATAAGCGAAATGCTTCCCAAGTTGGATCTGGTTGTATTGAGTTATATTGGACTATGTTTTGGATTCTCTCTATATCCAAATTCTTTGATTCATAATCCGAGAATTTCTCACCAGAATTTAAATCTGGACCCGCATATAACTGATAAACCTTGTGACCAAGCTCTGGTTCGGACAGAAGTTTTTCGGCGATTAATAGAATTAATCCTGATCTTGAGGCGTCAAGCGTATTTTTTTCTGCTATATCGAAATTTTTAAATGCTTTATAGACTTCTTTCTCAAATATTATACCAAAGGCTTTTGAGACCATTAATAAGGTATGTTGTGGTATATCACGATTTGCAACCCATCCACAACCCTTGGCGCCAATATTTCTAATTTCGATCGAATCACTTTTATAGTCAGCATGATCTAGTCTTGGACCTCCAAATTGAGTCCAGTTTGCAAGATCACTTTTTCGCATGCATTCATTCAATATTCCAATATAATCATAAATTCCATGCTTATTTTCGGAATATAAAATTTGTGCATGGCTTAAAAATTTCTGTATCGTTTTGATTGCTTGTTCATCTTGAGAGTTTTCTGGTTTCATATTTTCAAGCAAATCATTAAATGTTCTTTTAGATTCTTCATAATCTTTGAGATTATAAAGAGCTTGTCCCTTGCAAATTCTGGCTTTATAATAATTTTGATCAAGTCGTAATGCTTTCTCTGCGTCATCAAGAGCCTTATGATATCGTTTTAATTTCAAATATGCTTCCGCTCTGCTCGCATATAGTTTGGCTAGATGTGGTGCTAATTCAATTCCATTTGAATACTCGTTAATGGCTAATGAGAATTCGTTTTTTTGAAAGTGTTTATTACCAAGTTCCCAAAAATTATCAGCTGCTGACTCTTTTTCTTTTGCAAGTACTTTATGTATCGTTGCAAGATCGGATTCCCATCTAATTCCGTCAAGTATTTTGTCGTTTGACTTAACAACATCCACTTCATCTGGATTTTCTGAACGAATATGCATTGAGCCGTCTGATCCAATATCGTAAAATGGATTTCGAATAGTAAGTATAGTTCCGATTGGAAAAATATGAGATGCTTCGAAAATGGGCAAATCATTCGTTGGCAATTTATTAGGTATAATCCAATTGTACAGAGATAGTTTTTCAATCTCTCCTTCTGGATCTTCGACTATAGTAGTAAGTGCATTTATTTTGATACATTTCGTTATTACTCGACATAACAAATATCTTTGAATATGAACTCGAAAAAATTGCAATTCGGAAATAGCAATTCGATTCTTCTTATGAAGCTCAAAATTAATGTCTTTGGCGTCACCATGTTCTTCCTCAAAAATTTGATACTGATTATTATAGTTTGTATTTATTCGAGAAATTGTTTCAGGTCTTCGTTCTATCCGATCCATATATCTTAAAGTTTTTTCAATATCAGGATCTTTGTCGGCATTTTCCACGCACTTTATAAAGCTTTCAAACTTGCCGATTATCTCATGTTTAGGGCTTTTCTTTGGACCTTTTACAATAAACTTAATAAAATTTAAAAAAGTCATTTTTGATAACGAGTATTATCTTATAATCTTAACATTAATAAGATAAAATTCGCACCATACATGATAGTGACCGTGAGATTCCAAAATTAAAATATTCACTGAAAATGAGCAAATCGTTCCATAAAATTGAGTCTATTAAAAAATAGTACTTCTGTCTCTAACATAGAATCTCATACTGAAAGTCTTGGTTGTGATCAATAGTACTTGTCATTATTGTAGAGATTAAAAAACAAACAGAAACTTTAGTATTGTAGATTAAAGTGGGCAATATTTTTGCTTACTAGATTCGAGTTAAAAGCATATAAGATGCAGCATAAATATGTTATGGTTATAGCACGTGAAATTTGTTTTTGAGAAAAGCACACGTTTAACCTTAATGGATAAAGTTTTACACAGAGAGAACCAACAGTCGCTCGCGCAAATTTCGCACACTGATGTTGTGGACATAAAACCTTATTTGCAAAATTGATTTTCATCCATTAATTTTTTTTTTGAAGAAAACTTGACTTACATATTCTTTTTTGCGTTCTCACTTATACATGTATTTTGTCCGTTGATTGCATAGATATTGAAAAAGCGTTCATATCAGTTTTCTAATATTACTAATAGGTTCGTTCTTTTCTCTTATAGCAAAAAAGAATAATTTATTTAACTAATCCATTATTCTATCTTTTATTTAGAACGTAAGAAATCAACGATTTTATTTTACATCCTTCATTTCAATTTTCTTTGATATTAATAAAGCTACTGTTCATGTGCGTAGAATCTGATCTTGTATCCCTTCAGCGAAAAAAGAAAGAATTAAAACAGAATTTAGTATATGCAATTTGTGGCATCTGTGCAAGGTTTTTCTGTTTGTCTTTTATTCGATGCATACACTGATACGGAAAAACTTCGTATGTTATAACAATAAAATTTTTAGTCCCCGACGGAACTATATGTTGATAAACAAGTTGAGCAATGTGCTTGCACGGCTTCCTTATAATACGTGATGCCACATTTATCTCATAATCCATCACTCCGTTTTCTTGATGATTTTCGCTATCTTATATAATTTTTGATGCAAGTGTGTATGGGATCTCAAAGAATATCAATAAAATTTCCGTAGGAAACTAATCCCGACGATACTATTTGCGATGCTCAAAGAAATCATGTTTCTTTATGTTCCTACAAATCTATTGTGTCGCTATATAAAAAGAAATTTTATAATGGGTTGGTTCTCAAAGAATTGTTTTTATTTAAAATGATCTTATATAGAGGTATTTGCCTTGCCCCAATTCTTGTTATAAGCTAAATTCTATCTTTAGAAATGGTCTAAATACTATGAACTATCATGATTGATATAACCAGTTTGATACATATTGATATACGGAACTCTCAATAGTATCTCCCAATTTTATAATTAAAATAGTTCTTGCATCTCATATAAAGAATGCATTTTTGAAAAATACCAGACGATACTTTATTGAAGTAATGTAAATCAAAACCGTTTCAAATGAACATTGCGAAGTTTATTTGCTTTAAATTTATAAGTTTGCAAAGCATGTCATGCTAGTAAAGAAATCCTTTAAATGTAAACTTTAGAGATGAACGTATCGATAATAAATTTTTAAAGGAAATTCAATCACGTTGACATACAGTGGCTCATGGAAGAAATGGAACACGGGAAAAAAATTGGCGAGATACGAATATCTCGCCATTGAAGAATTGT